TTAGACACTGCCTGGTGTTTTTGCGTGTGTGTGTGTGTGTGTGTGTGTGTGTGTGTGTGTGTGTGTTTGTGTGTGTGATGTGTGTGTATGTGTTGTGTGTGATGTGTGTGTATGTGTGTGTATGTGTGTGTGTGTGTGTGTGTGTGTGTACTCACCTAGTTGAGATTGCGGGGGTCGAGTCCGAGCTCCTGGCCCCGCCTCTTCACTGGTCGCCACTAGGTCACTCTCCATGAACCATGAGCTTTATCGTACCTCTGCTTAAAGCTATGTATGGATCCTGCCTCCACTACATCTCTTCCCAAACTATTCCACTTCCTGACTACTCTGTGGCTGAAGAAATACTTCTTAACATCCCTGTGATTCATCTGTGTCTTCAGCTTCCAACTGTGTCCCCTTGTTGCTGTGTCCAGTCTCTGGAACATCCTGTCTTTGTCCACCCTGTCAATTCCTCTCAGTATTTTGTAAGTCGTTATCATGTCCCCCCTATCTCTCCTGTCCTCCAGTGTCGTCAGGTTAATTTCTCTTAACCTCTCCTCGTAGGACATACCTTTTAGCTCTGGGACTAGTCTCGTGGCAAACCTTTGCACTTTCTCTAGTTTCTTTACATGCTTGGCTAGGTGTGGGTTCCAAACTGGTGCCGCATACTCCAATATGGGCCTAACGTACACGGTGTACAGGGTCCTGAATGACTCCTTATTAAGATGTCGGAATGCTGTTCTGAGGTTTGCCAGGCACCCATATGCTGCATCAGTTATTTGGTTGATGTGCGCTTCAGGAGATGTGCCTGGTGTTATACTCACCCCAAGATCTTTTTCCTTGAGTGAGGTTTGTAGTCTCTGGCCCCCTAGACTGTACTCTGTCTGCGGTCTTCTTTGCCCTTCCCCAATCTTCATGACTTTGCACTTGGTGGGATTGAACTCCAGGAGCCAATTGCTGGACCAGGTCTGCAGCCTGTCCAGATCCCTTTGTAGTTCTGCCTGGTCTTCGATCGAATGAATTCTTCTCATCAACTTCACGTCATCTGCAAACAGTGACACCTCTGAGTTTATTCCTTCTGTCATGTCGTTCACAAATACCAGAAACAGCACTGGTACTAGGACTGACCCCTGTGGGACCCCGCTGGTCACAGGTGCCCACTCTGACACCTCGCCACGTACCATTACTCGCTGCTGTCTTCCTGACAAATATTCCCTGATCCATTGTAGTGCCTTCCCTGTTATCCCTGCTTGGTCCTCCAGTTTTTGCACTAATCTCTTGTGTGGAACTGTGTCAAACGCCTTCTTGCAGTCCAAGAAAATGCAATCCACCCACCCCTCTCTCTCTTGTCTTAGTGCTGTTACCTTGTCATAGAACTCCAGTAGGTTTGTGACAGGATTTCCCGTCCCTGAAACCATGCTGGGTGCTGTTGATGAGATCATTCCTTTCTAGGTGTTCCACCACTCTTCTCCTGACAATCTTCTCCATGACTTTGCATACTATACATGTCAGTGACACTGGTCTGTAGTTTAGTGCTTCATGTCTGTCTCCTTTTTTAAAGATTGGGACTACATTTGCTGTGTTCCATGCCTCAGGCAATCTCCCTGTTTCGATAGATGTATTGAATATTGTTAAGGGTACACATAGCGCCTCTGCTCCCTCTCTCAGGACCCATGGAGAGATGTTATCTGGCCCCATTGCCTTTGAGGTATATAGCTCACTCAGAAGCCTCTTCACTTCTTCCTCGGTTGTGTGTACCGTGTCCAGCACCTGGTGATGTGCCACACCTCTCCGTCCCTCTGGAGCCCCTTCTGTCTCCTCTGTGAACACTTCTTTGAATCTCTTGTACTCACCTAATTGTGTGTGTGTGTGTGTGTGTGTGTGTGTGTGTGTGTGTGTGTGTGTGTGTGTGTGTGTGTGTGTGTGTGTGTGTGTGTGTGTGTGTGTGTGTGGTGAAATGTGTATGGTGGATGTGTGGAGGAATGTGTGTGGTGAAATGTGTATGGTGGCTGTGTGGTGAAATGTGTGTGGGGTTGTGGTAGAGTGTGTGGTTGTGGTGGCATGTGTGTGAGTGGTGGTGGAATAGGGGTGGAATGTATGTGTGTGAGTGGTGGTGGAATGTATGTGTGCGAGTGTTGGTGGAATGTGTGTTGTGGTGGAGTGTGAATGTGTGTGTATGTGTATGTATGTGTGTGTGTGTGTGTGTGTGTGTGTGTGTGTGTGTGTGTGTGTGTGTGTGTGTGTGTGTGTGTGTGTGTGTGTGTGTGTGTGTGTGTGTATAAGAGTGTGCGTGTCGAGTGTGAACACACTACTGGTATTCCAGTCTTGAAAGCCTCAATGTGCTGTGTTATCACACTGGATATTTGTGCCCTCGACACACCAAAGTAATTGACATTAATGTTCATAGATTCCTTACACGCTTCATCCGTCCTATGAAATTTCATGAGCGAGTCTAGTACCCTATACTGGTGTTAAGCAGTACTTTTGTCCCAAATGGAGTTCTTGATAGATATTGGTTGTGATTCTACACTTGTGCTGCATACTATGACTGGCCTGGTGACAAAAGCTCTCGCTTCACACGGTGAGGGTCCGGGTTTGATTCTCGGCGAGTGTAGAAACACTGGGCGTGTTTCCTTACACAGCAACAGCCTGGTTGATTAGGCCCTGATCCACCATGAGGCCTGGTCACAGACCGGGCCGCGGGGGCGTTGGCCCCCGAAACCCTCTCCAGGTATACACAGGTTGCCTATGTTCACCCATCAGTAATAATGGGTATCTGGGCGTTAGTCGACTGGTGTGGGTCGCATCCCGGGACAAAACTGACCAAATTTGCCCGAAATGCCCAGCATAACAAGGGGCTTTCTATATAGAAGTATGTCACTGATGTCAGCTATGGTCTGTATACCTTGTACATGTCTTGTAGAAATAAATAAATTATTATTATCATCCAACGAAATATACATTATCTTAAACGTCCGTATTCACTTAACAGTATACCATACAATGAGAAGGTCTGTAAGTACCTGGGTGCTACTGACTGTTGTGGAGCGCATCACAGCAAAGTATTTAAAAGGCTTACTCTACTCGACACTAGTGCGCTATATACACATTCTGAGGACACTTTACTATGATATCTGGCAGGGATTTAATACTATTTGTCTGCTACTGGTTCCACCTGAGTTAGCAGTGACATAATACAATTTGTTACTGGTTCCACGTGAGCTAGCAGTGCTGCTACTGATTCCATCTGAGCTAGCAGTGACATAATACTATTTGTCTGCTACTGATTCCATCTGAGCTAGCAGTCAGTCAGTACTATTTGTCTGCCACTGGTTCTACGTGAGCTAGCAGTAAGTCAATACTATTTGTCTGCCACTGGTTCCACCTGAGCTAGCAGTGACATATATTATCTATTTATACTACTACTGGTTCTCATTCCTGAGCTAGCAGTGACATAATACTATTTGTCTGCTACTGGTTCCACCTGAGCTAGCAGTGACATAATACTATTTGTCTGCTACTGGTTCCACCTGAGCTAGCAGTGACATAATACTATTTGTCTGCTACTGGTTCCACCTGAGCTAGCAGTGACATAATACTATTTGTCTGCTACTGGTTCACCTGAGCTAGCAGTGACTAATACTATTTGTCTGCTACTGGTTCACCTGAGCTAGCAGTGACAATACTATTTGTCTGCTACTGGCTCCACCTGAGCTAGCAGTGACATAATACTAGTCTGCTACTGGTTCCACCTGAGCTAGCAGGGGGCACAATACTATTTCACTATTTGTCTGCCACTGGTTCCACCTGAGCTGGCAGTGGCACAATTCGTCTGGCTGCCACCAGTTCAACTTGACATATCCGGCACCATGACCTCATTTCCTCTACACTCTCCTCACAAACAACAAATACACAAATAACCCTCACATAGAAGAGAGGAGCTTACGACGACGTTTCGGTCCGACTTGGACCATTTTCAAAGTCACACTAACGAGAAGGACAGGAGGATGGGTATATATAGGCCTATATATACCCATCCTCCTCTCCTTCTCGTTAGTGTGACTTTGTAAATGGTCCAAGTCGGACCGAAACGTCGTCGTAAGCTCCTCTCTTCTATGTGCAGGTTATTTGTGTATTGTTCCAGTCACGGTATTGTGTCTATTTTTTGTTATAAACAACAATTGGCTCTCGAAATAAAATTATTGGTGCTGTATGACATTAAAAAGATGATTTCTTTATTCAAAATTGAACACATTAGCAGCGTTCTGCTACACTATTCTACATGCTAGATACAGTGGGAACAAAAGCTAGCTATGTTGTTCCTGTCATATTCCATCACATAGGATGGGTTACATACATACTGTGAAAATGTGTCAGCCTGAACTAAGGAACTATAGTAGAATAATGATATTTTGTGCAACACAATTAATCAACCTATCGGTTCTATGAACCAGTTATTTACAATAAGGATATCGTTAAAAGTGTTTCAGTAAGGGTTTAGCAGTTACGGCAACTTGAGAGATTTCGTTCCAGCAGAACTGCTGGAGTTATTATTAGTTAGGAATTACCATCACGGCCATGCCACACTGAACGCACCACTTCTCGTCAGCTCGGCGAAGTTTAAGGAACGTTGGGTATAGTTAGTACTTGGATGGGTGGCCTCCTGGGAACACCAAATGTTGTTTGCTACAATGTTTAAAATATTTTTCTCCAGGTATACTCCCGACGCCTGGTCACAGACCGGGCTGCGGGGGCACTGATCCCCGAAACCCTCTCCAGGTAGCTCTGAGGATGGCCAATCCCATATGCATCAGAAAATGAATTTTTATGAAGATATCTCTCACAGAGCGAGGTAACAAAAAATATGTACAGAGAGAGAAAAAAAGAATGATGAGAGAGGATTAGGACTACTGAAAAGTTGGAGGCTGGGAGGAAAGTTAGAAAGGAAAGGTAAAGAGGGGAAGTAGAGGTGGAGGCTGGAGGCGGAGGAAGAGACGGGGGAGGTTAAGGAAGAGAAGACTGACCTTCTTGAGGAGGTATGGAGCCTCCACATGTAGTTTACAGCGGCGGGAGACCTGGACTACGGCGCCATCTTTTGATGTAGTCTCCTTGATGATGTCAGTGCCCGCCATGATGGGAATCATGTCGCACTTCGGGAAGCGACGCACGTAAGCCTGTAATACACATCATAAACCTTACTAAATGTCCACACTTTACTACCGGCACACATCATCTACTACAACTAAATCACTTAGAAAAGTGCTTGCACTGATTTTTAATAAAACACTTGATACAAGAAGTTTGCAAAACACCTGGAAGACGGAACACACAATTTTAATATTCAAGAAGAAAGTTAGACAAAAATTACTAGAATATAAATTATCTCTGACAAACATTATATGCAAGACTATGAAGGTATAGTGTTACCGACAATATTCAGATGGAGAGATATGCACAGTCTTGAACTCTGCATATGTGTCTTTAGTATAAACCTTGGTAATAGATACCGACAAATTGGTTTAAAGATACGTGAGCAAACACTTCTATTACTTCTAGAAGTGATCAAGATCTCAGGACTGAAACGCTGTCTATTAAATGTCCTAGTGTTGGTTCAAGTGTCTTTCTATACCATATGTGTCTTTATCAAGGTTAAGGAAAAAAGTAATATGAGAGAAACTAGAACGAGCACCTTGAGAACACCGAGTTCAGCACAATATCCACTACCAAACATCTAATATATTTCCTCCATACTCTCTCACTCCAGTCCTATATCTAATATTTCACTGCCTAAACTTTTTTTCGTTACTCTCATCACCCTTCTGTTCTCTATATTCACTTTTAATTTTCTTATTTTTCCACACCCTCCCAAACTTCATCAACCTTCATAACATTTCTGCAGAATCTCCCAGAAGATTTGTCACCAGCAAAAAGCAACTGTGACAACTCCCACTTTATATCAAATTCATTATCTTTTATCTCACACCTCTCCCCAACACCCTAACTTTACTACTTTTACAAACCCATCTATAAATACAGTATAATCAATGATCACAATAACATCACACATTCCTGTCTAAGGTCTATTTTTACTGGAAAATAGTCTCCCTCTAGTGATAGGGCGATAATATATATTTTATATATATTATTATTTATATATATATATATATATATATATATATATTTATATATATATATATTTATATATATATATTGCAGATACCGATGATCAATTTTAGGCCGATATTCACAGTTACCGATACCATTAAAATTAGCCACCGATATCGATACTTTGGCACACCTCTATTAGATACCATAAAATGAGCCTCTCTCTCTATATTGAAATTGTTCACTGTTTTTAGTAACCCAGGGTAACCCACTTTCTACTCTATAAATTTACAATATCTGTCTCATAGCTCCCCTACACACCCTATCATGTGCCTTGTCTAAATCCAAGGAAACACTTCCCTACACTTATTATTCAGTTACCTGCTTCACTGTAAACACTGGGTCTACACATTCTCTAGACCAGGGGAAATGGGTTATTGACCTTTGTACGATTACAAACACCCAATGGATTGCCCAATATGTGCCCGTACCCCCTTCATCAGAGTGTCGAAGTTATCACCATTTCTATTAGGTACCAGTATGACTTCAAAAGATGTCAATAACTTGGCTTAACTTTATATATGGATAAATAATAACAGAACAGATGATAGTTTATTCTAACAACTTTATTTTAAAATTATTTAGAGATCGAGTTCCATACCCCCATTATTTGGTTCCCACACCCTCATTATTTTGCTCCCATACCCCCATTATTTGGTTCCCACACTCATTATTTTGCTCCCATACCCCATTATTTGGTTCCCACACCCTCATTATTTTGCTCCCATACCCCCATTATTTGGTTCCCACACCCTCATTATTTTGCTCCCATACCCCCATTATTTGGTTCCCACACCCTCATTATTTTGCCCCATACCCCCATTATTTGGTTCCCACACCCTCATTATTTTGCCCCATACACCCATTATTTGGTTCCCACACCCTCATTATTTTGCTCCCATGCATCCATTATTTGGTTCCCACACCCTCATTATTTTGCTCCCATACACCCATTATTTGGTTCCCATACCCCCATTATTTGGTGCCCATATACCCATTATTTGGTTCCCATACACCCATTATTTGATTCCCATACTCCCTTTATTTGGTTCCCATACTCCCTTTATTTGGTTCCCATACCCCCATTATTTGGTTCTCATACCCCCATTATTTGGTTCTCATACCCCCCATTATTTGGTTCCCATACCCCATTATTTGGTTCCCATGCACCCATTATTTGGTTCCCATACCCTCAAGGGGTATGGATACCCCCGGTTAAGAACCCTTGCTAAAATCTTCCTTGTTCCTTTGCAATCCTACCTTCTGTCTTACCCTTACTCTAAATACATCTTCCCTATATTCAGCAGGCTTATTTCCCTATAATTCTTACACTCTCTCTCGTGATCACTTTTCCCTCATACAGAGGTACTATATTTAAGCTCTCTGCATGCACACTCGAGCCACTTTCTTATGGAGTAAAAACACAGGGACCATTTCCCACATGACGGGTTCTTTCCCTTTGCTGATATTAATACAGCAACAGTAATTGGTTTCTGGCTGCGAGAAATTACCTATCTAGCCACCACCACCACCACCACCACCACCCACAACCACCGCTGCTGCTGATAACTGCATACCTTCCTCCCCACCACAATCATTAACTGTGTTCAATTATAAATGTTTGACGATGTATATGTATGTATGCACCTTTTACACAAGAAAGCTAAGGAAGGAAACTTCATATACATGACTATGTATACATACTGTACACAATACAGCTATGAATGGAAACTTCGTATACATATTGTATACCACACACAATAATTGTTCTTGTCTTTAATTTGCATCATGTAAATGTTATTCATCTTGATACACGTTTGATACCATGTATATAGATCTTCACCTCCAACACTACCTCAACCCCCTCTCTCCTCCAATACCTTCACCTCCAAAACCACCTCAACCCCTCTCCTCCAACACTACCTCAACCCCTCTCACCTCCAACACCACCTCAACTCTCCCTCCTTCAATACTCTCACCTCCAACACTACCTCAATTCCCCTCTCCTCCAGCACTTACTCAACACCCCCATTTCCAATAATAACCTTCCAACACTACTAACACTGTAAAGTTTGGTTCAGTCTGTGATAGACATAACCTAGCTTGTTCCCAGACTGGAACATTTCAGGAAAACAGAAGCCCGCTCCCAGATGTGAATTACTGAACCTATCGCCGGAAGAGCATATTAACTTCGGCAGCCCATGCGAAGCTAGCAAATCTCGGAAGCGCCTTCGGTAAAATAAACCCAATGAAAAGCAGGGGCGCCGTGGACAAGATAAGAGAACACTGTATCAACATACGTAGTCCCTGACTATTTAACATCATACCAGAAGATATCAGAAACATTGCCGGAGCAAGTGTAGAAGTCTTCCATAGGAAACTAGACAAGTACCTCTGCCAAGTATGGGGTCCAGCGGGCCGCCAGCAGGAACAGCTTGGTTGATTAGGCAAGCGCTAGACAAGCTAGGCCCAGGGCAGGGCTGCGAGAGTAGGAAAACTCTCGAAACCCAGCAAAGGAGCATCAAAGGCAACCTCAATATAGAATCCTTTAGTTATGTACACAGCATAATAAAGGAACATTTTGTGAAGAATGAGACATGCCACATTTGGGAATTTTTACTGTGGAAACGTTTCGCCAGTCAATGGCTTCTTCAGTCTAATACAGATAAGAACGGTGGAAGATGAGGAGTTTGAGGTATTCAGTCCGTCAGCCTTGAGTCGATGGTTTTTCTAACCCATGTACGTACATCTCATCCTATGAAGCACCTTCATAGAGCCTCAACCTTACCAAGCATGTTAGGTGGCGGGGCTCAGCGCCCCCGCCACTGCTTATCGTCTTAGGCCACATCGTTCACAGAAAGGACGAAGACAACAACGAAGACGATAACGACGAGCAACATAACGAAACAAGAAGCCAGAAAAAAAAGGAAAGCACAAACAAGGAGCAGAAGTAACAAGAAAAACGACAAATCAATATATGTAAGATAAAGAGGAGAGAGAGGAACGACCTCTTATCTCAGCGTTCATCACGCCTTGTGTCAGCGTTGCCTTAAAACACTAAGCAGTGTTTACTGAGTGAACATCTGTGATGCTTCAGAAATTAGACAAGTTGAAGAAGGAGACACTTGTGCAACATTTGGGAATCTTTATCGAGGAAACGTTTCGCCAGCCAGTGGCTTCTTCAGTCCAATACAGAGAAGAACGGTAGAAAAAGAGGAGTAGTATGAGGTAATCAGTCCCTCAACCTGGAGTCGATGTGTTCACTCCCCCCCTCCCGTTCCTCTCTGTACTGGACTGAAGAAGCCACTGGATGGCGAAACGTTTCCTCAATAAAAATTCACAAATGTTGCACAAGTGTCTCGTTCTTCAACAAAGTGAACACCTGTAAATAATGTTGGTAGAATTACCGACAATATGTTAGGTAAAAGGACACAAGTGCAACTAATGTGACATTTTATTGTGGCAACGTTTTGCTCTCCAGGAGCTTTGTTAACGGCTTGGCAAAACTCCTGGAGAGCGAAACGTTGCCACAATATATTGTCGCATTAGTTGCACTTGTGTCCTTTTTATCTAAGACACTGTCAGTAATTCTACCAATATTATCACGGTATGTCACGTTAAGGAAGTTTCAGGTACTGAAGTATACCTGTAAGGTACTTTCGAGGGGGGTTAACGCCCCCTGCGGTCCGGTCCCAGAGCAAACCTCCTGGTGGATTAAGACCTGATCAAACAGGCTGTTAATCTTGGCCACACGCAGTCCAACGTGGGAACCACAGACCGGCTGTGGAAATTAAGTCACGATGCATCTGGAGGGCGTTCCGGGGGTCAACGCCCCCGCGGCCCGGTCCTTCACTTTGACTCACGAAATCGTAATGACACATCTGCAAACAAACCATACCACGGGCGGGGGAAGAACGCGTCGGTCTGGAGTTTGACTCTGATCGTGGGTTCTATCCCCGCCCGTGGTATGATTTGCTTCACTTTGATTTGTTGAATTATCCTATGTTAA